TTTCTTTCTCTTTCACAATATCTGTTGTACCTTTCAGGTTTTATTTACTCTGTTAGGTTCTTACACCAGGGAGACAATGTGATATTTGCACATGCGGGTCTGATTTACTTCACTTATAAGTATGGTCTCTAGTTGCATCCATTTACCTATAAAAGCCTGGAGTTTATGCATTTTTTTAACAGCTGAGTAATACTCCTTTGTATACAAATATCACATCTTTTTTATCCATTCCAGCGTTGATGGGTATTTGGGTTGTTTCCAAGATTTAGCTATGACAAATTGTGCTGCTGTAAACATGGGTGCACATACATTGCTGTGGTACGATATATTCAGTTCTGGAAAAATACCCAGAAGGGGAATAGCTAGGTCGAATGGGACCTCTAATCCTATTTTTGTGAGGAATCTCCACACTGATTTCCAGTGGTTTCACGGGTCTACATTCCCACTAACAGTGGAGAAGGGTTCCTTTTTCCCCACAGCCTCTCCAGCATTTGTTATTAGTTGATTTCTTTCCTTTTCTTTGTCTTTTTTTTGACTTTTTGAAATAGAGTCTCACTATGCAGTTCAGGCTGGCCTTGAACCTGCAATGATCCTTCTTCCTCAGCCCCTCGAGTGCTGGGATTATAGGCGTGCACCACCATGCCCAGCTTTAGTTGATTTCTTGATGATAGCCATTCTTTCTAGGGTGAGATGGAATCTTAGTGTTGTTTTAATTTGCATTTCTCGAATGACCAATGATGTTGAATATTTTTTCACATATTTATTTGCTATTTATATTTCTTTATCTGAGAAGTTTGTATTATCTCAGATGCCCATTTTTGTATTGGGTCTTTGAATTTTGTGGGCCTGATATTTTAAAATTCTCTATATGTTCTAGATAGAAGTCCTTTGTCTGAGGGACAGTTGACTAAAATTTTTTCCCAATTTGTGGGTTTTCTTTTTCTCCCATTGGTGATTTCTTTTGATGTGCAAAAACTTTTCAGTAAGAGGAGGTCCCAGCTGTTGATTCTTTGAAGAATTTCCTGTGCAGTTTGGTTTTGTTCATGAACTCTCTGCCTATCCCTGTGTCTTCAAAATTTCTACCTACGTTCTCTTTCAGTAGATTTAGTGTTTCTTTTCTAATATTTAGATCTCTGATTCACTTTGACTTTAGTTTAGTGCATGGCGACAGACGTGGGTCTAGCTTTAGTCTTTGGCATGTGGGAAGCCAGTTTTTCCAGCACCATTTATTAGAGAGGCTGTCATTCTTCCAGTGAACTTGTTTGGCTCCTTTGTCAAAGATAAGGTGGCTGAGTGTAAAACCAGGTATTTTTTTA